TTCCCCAGCCTGAATTCTGCTTGCATCCCGCCTGAAACCCCCCTACCTGCATTTCGCTCCCTGGGATAGGAACTGGAGGGGTCTGGGTCTTCAGGACGCTTGCTCAATTTTTCCTGCGTCAGCGATAGCTGCATTTTGCAGTCAGCCTTCCCTTGGGTTTGCTTCTTTGCAGAAGCGGTCTGAGTGCCACACGCACAAAAACCCAAACCCCTCAAGATGTGGTTGAGTAGCAGGATCACTCAAAACCAGCCAGCCCAATGGCAGCGCCAGTCCCTCTTTGTTGTCCTAGTACTGTCGTTCACCCTCCAATAATCCAGCCAGAGCTCTTTTCCTGGGGCACAGCACTGGCTGGCTTTCAGGTGGGGTTACTCTCCTTCCTCCACCTGCACAGATCCTTCCACACCTGCACGCAGCAGCGTGCCCGACGCACACGGGCCTGTGTGCACGCTCCCTCCCCGTAAGCTCATCCTGCACCTCCGCCGTCACACCAACGTGTTGGGAAGTAACTTCTGCTGCGCAGAGTGTGCATTATTTCAGCGGGGAGAGCTACGTTAGCACCCGGGACAGCGAGGTAAAAGGTTTCCTAGGTCACGGAGAGTCGACGGCGCGGCGCGGGCACCCGTCAGGCACTGCTTATGTGCAGCCCAGCCCGTGCTCCTGGGAGCTTCGCCGCCTGTCACCTGGGCAGCACAGCTCTGAAGGAGCAATTAAATTTTATACTGTGGTTGCAAAGTAGGAATAACATGCAAAATGGGATTAAGTCTTAATGTGATCTCATATCCAAGCTAGTCCCGGACCACCTAGTAATGTCAGTGAGAAAGTTCTAAGTATTATTACTATTAAAAAAAAAAAAAAAAAAAAAATGCACTGCACTTCAAAGGGAAAGCAAACCACAACAACTATGCTGGTGATGTTACGGACATGCTGTACGCCCAGTAAATCAAAGTGTAACGAACTACATTTTCAGTGTCTTCTGCTGGCCCCCCGAGTTATTTCCTGAATCTCTGAATGGGCTGCCACGGCCTCGGCTGGGCAGAGGCGCGTGGTGCCAGCGGTCACCGCGGCTCCATCTCCAGGGCAGCGGCTTTTGTGTGAGAGGCGAGGGGGCCTCTGCGCCTGCAAAGAGCTTCTCAAGCAGTGATGGAAATTCTCAAGGGGAAACCAACAATGAAAATAAATCCAGACTGGAAATTACTTCAGATGCAAGCAAAGGCAAAGGAGATTTGTGCTGCGAATGCCAGTCCCGCTTTTTCCCCCCAGGTGTGAGCTGCACTGAATTCACCCAGGCTCTGATGCCCAGCGCTCCCTGGGGGTACGGTCACGTTGCAAGCGCAATTTTGATACCCCTTAGGCAGTTCTCGGAAGCTGTGAAGTTGGCGCTCCCTTCAGACTTAGTAGGGTTTGGAGGCAACACCCCAGTAACTATGAACTCAAGCTGAGAGTAGCAACAACCCCCTACCCTACACGCCTCCTTAGATTCCAATGTAAGGAAAAATCTGGGGGAGGCATTTTGAATTGAATCGGGGAAACATGGGACTGAATGAAGTGTGCATGCAAATCACAACATCCTCTAGACATTTTGTTCCTGTTTTTCTCTGCAGCTAGTGTTACCCGTTAAGCATGCCAGTCTCTGCAGGGCTGCAACCCAGCCCTCCTGTCTCGCATCTGGGACAGACAGCACGCTACCCACCCCGCCGCCCCAACCTTTTCAAGACTCTCCTCAGATCTGTGCGACAGCCCTCATCTGACCGAGGCACCCGTGCAGCCAACCTGCAAGCACGTACTCCCCTGAAGGCCTGCGAAAAGCAGTGGGAAGTTAAGGGCATCCTGAAGCGTGGTGCTGAGCGAGGCCTAAAGCCCTGCAGCCCCACACTGACACACGCCGGGTCGCCGATTCCTCGAGCCTCGGGTAAAGTGCTGCCAAGCTGCCGGCAATGTGCAGCCAAAGCGGCTGATCCCGCTACGGGAACAACCTTCTACTCGCAACTTCTATGTCTTAAAGCCTTTTTGTTCTCAAACAAGCAGTGGTCTTCCTTGCCTGTCCCGTTACTGCAACTCAAAGGACACTCCACTGGAAGAAAGCAGAGTTAGACGAGAGCCACTGAAATGATACTACAGAAAGTTTTACCCCTTTGGTTCTGCAGGAAGATAGATAGTCCAGCGCCAGACAGCATACACAGCTAAAATGGCATGCAGAAAGTGTACCAGATCACTAATTCACAAAGCACTGTTTGCCTTAAAGAAATCACATGGAAGAAAGTAATTTTTCTTTAACGTGATGGTAATTCAAAGCTTTCTCTGGCACAGAAGCGGATGATCTGCACCAGAAGAAAAAAAACGCAGCGATGAAGTGAAGTATCATCAGCCACCCAAGCTGTTTTTCTCCACCCTCCTTGACTAGAAATGCATTTCCGAGTCAGCAACAGCTTCTCTAGCACAGCATCTCTAGTTTCACACCAATTTACAACTACGCCATTTTTGAACACAAAACCTATGTCTAACTTGAGGTAGTTACCAGTCACCAAAAAGAAAACCACGTTTCTTCTCGAAAGGTGCAATTATCTAGGCTCTGGCTCTAAAGATATTGCAAAGGAGATTTATTTCCCATTAGCTGTCAAAACCACAGTAGTGCCATACTTATAGAAGTACTTAAACAGAAGTGAAACCATAGATGTTTGTGGCACAGCAGTTTGCTCTTCACAGTGGTTTAAAATTTATGCCAGCAGTTTATTATTTAAATGTATTTTCCTTAGGTGAATACAACAGAGCTGCTGCATTTGAGTTACGAAGCAATGCTGAAGAAGAATTAAGAATTACACAGTTAAATTGTGTATTATCATGTAAATGGAAAAGGAATGTCACGTGGGACTCGGTGCATTGTTCGGAGAGATAAATGCAGTGAACTATAAATACAAGTTCGATAGAGTGCCCTGTCAGTTAAGCAGTTAGATGAAAGCAAGTCTTGGGAGCTACTGGGTACATTTTAAAATAAGTACTCATACACACAGTTTCAATATCTAATACAGCTAACTAATCAGCCACTACTTTTGTTCGTAAAACTGCCGTCTTGTCCTATGAAAAAACAAAGAAGGGAAACACCGTAATGGCCAAAGATAACTGTCTTTATGTGAGGTTTAATCTACATAAATTATTATTATGTAATAATTTATAAGAATTTATGTTATAATTTATAATAAAAGCCCTCCAGCAGGTCTGAAGGCACGGCCCTGGGTTCGGGGGAGGGTGAGCGCCTGACACACTGAAGACAGCACCTACATGCACAGCGGCTGCTGAGCACGCTGCTGCCTTCGTCCAGAGAGGTGCCTGTCCAGATGTAAAAGAGATTATGCTGCTGTTTGATTATAGCAGGATACATACTGGCATTTGGGGTTTAAAGAGGATTAGTTTGTCCTTTGTCCCTATCCAGGCTTCATTTTGAGCCATAAACGGCCTCTTCTATGAATACTGGTACATGTTAAAAAGCAAACAAGAGGTGCAGATATTTTGTTTTGTACGCCCGGTGCTACTGCTTCGCCCTATCTAGAACAAAATTTTTGTAGGAAAAAACCCAACTATTTTAGCAAGACTGAAAAGCTTTCCCGTTCTCCAATTCTGCCTCAACCCTCCCATTGCAAAGACAAGTAAAATGGGAAGAGAAGACCGAGTACCAATACAACCACCCACCACCTCCGGAGACAGTAAATGCTTGACGTGACCTGTATGGAGAGGCTGGTGACTGGTGCCAGCACACAAAGAGGCTGACGTGACGGCAGCTAAGCCCACACCATCTCTATCGGTTTGCTGAAACCAACTGCTTCAATTTTCGCAGTGCGAGTCAAGGCAGTTCATTTCAGGCTTTAAAAAACGGACAAAAAAGTCTATTCAGCTGAAGTATGCAATAGTCACATTATTTGAGAGCTTTTGCCCTTTCAAGCGACAGATACATCTAGGAAAAAAAAGCAAGAGAGAAGGGCAGGGTGTGAAAGTTTAACTCTATCCCTCCTCGCCTCAGAGGGGACGAGTAAAAGTCCATTCGTGGTGGTGGAGCGTGAAGCTGGGAAGAGGCGCCTCCGCTGCCCGTCGGGGAGGACCGAGGAGGCGCGCACTTCCCTGTCAAAGCTCAGGCAAACATTCAGGACAAAGAAGGCAAAACATTAACAGACTTTACTGAAATATCAGTTTCTTTAGTGTGTTACAGAAAAAACTTATGAACATATATAATGTACATAAAAGGCAGACTTTGTAAAATAAAAAGGTCTTTTACAAAAAAATCAAAAAAGTCAAAGTAAAGTGCATGAAACAGTTTTTCCTCCACTTTAACTATTGCATCAAAGTCTTAGCACACAGCAATGTTTTTAAAATCTGGGAGATCCTCTTGTGTCACCCATTAGCCAGTCACTTCACTGGTCAGATGAAATGGCGGCGATTACAAACAAACGCTTAAGAATCAGAACAGCTTTAACCAGATGCATCCACAACAAAGACTAAGAGCTAAGGGAGTACGGGCTTCCTATACACTTGTCATCGACAAGATTTAACAATCAGCAGAAAGGTTCACTCTCGTTAAAGAAAATCAGTAAGAAACAAGCTTCATAAATAGGGCAGTTTTGCTAGTTAGGGGCTCCCCTACTGTGCCGTCAGTTCTTGGTCTATGAAAATCGACACTCATACTTAAATATGCTGTTGCAAAAGGAAGAATATATATATATATATGTATTAAAAAAAAAACCGTCTCCGCCCGCCTCTTTTGGAGGGAGAAGGCAGTCGACCACAATCCAGACAAAGGCGACAGCTTTCCCACGGGGTGCCTCCCGGGGCGGGGGGGGCACCCCGGGTCCGGCAGCTCGCTCCAGATGCGGGGCCCCGTCGGGTTTTGGGGCTCTGGGAGCGGCGCCCCGGGCGCGGAGCTCGGCAGCGGGGCCACCGCCCCCCCCCCCCCCGCCCCGCCGGGCGGGCGGCCCCGCGGGGGGGGGACGCGGCGGGGCCGGGCGGGCAGAGGGCGCGGCCCCCCCCCCCCCCCCCCCCCCCCCCCACGCGGCCGTCAGAGCGCGGCGGCCCGCGCGCGGCAGTGGGCGATGTGGCGGTGCACGAAGTCGACGCGGGCCTGCAGCAGCTCGGCCTGCCGCTCCGAGAGGAAGCCGAGCCGGGCCCAGAGCGGCTCCCGCGCCCGGTACCGGCGGCGCAGCTCGGCGGCGGCGCTGCGGCGGCGGTGGAGCTCGGCGACGCGCCGCGCCGTGCCCTCGCGGAAGACGCAGACGGAGCGGAGCAGCGGCTCGTTGTAGGGGTCCCACATGGCGAGGAGGCGGTAGCCGTGCACCAGCCCCGCCTCGTTGTCCAGGAAGACGAGCCCGCCGTCGGGCCCGCGGAGCAGGTTGCTGGTGGCGCGGCGCATCACCCGCGGGTCCCACTGCAGGCTGAAGAGGTTGCTGACCAGGCGGTCGAAGTTGGCCGTCAGGTAGTCGAAGAGGATCAGGTCGCTCCACTGCACCAGCTCCACCAGCTGCGCCGGCGGCAGGCCGCCCAGCTCCCCCGCCGACAGCGGCTGCAGCCGCCGGCCGGCGCCCGCCTCGGCGCCCCAGGGCGCGGGGGCCACCACGGCCGTCAGGTTGTCCACCCAGCGCGTCAGGCTGACCACGGCGCCCTCGGCCCAGTGCGAGCCGCGCAGCTCCTCCCGCACCGGCTCCCACTGCCGCCCGCGGGCCTCCACCAGGGCGAGGGCGAGGGGCGGCAGCCGCTCCTGCATGCCCAGCACCCCGGCCAGGTGGTACGAGAGCGCCTCGCCCTGGATCTGCTCCGGGTTGATGCCGTACCGGACGCAGGCGCGGCTCCCGTCCGACAGCCGCGCCAGCCGGTTGGAGCCGCGCCCGCAGCCGCCCCGCTCCAGCGAGGCCACCCGGGCGGCGCGGGCAGCCGCCAGCCACGCCGCCGCCTCCTCCGCCGCGAACCCCGGCGGCACCCGCTCCTCCAGCTCGCGGCTCCAGAAGATGCCCCGCTCCACCGGGGAGCCGCCCCTCTCCTCCCGGCCCGGCGCCGGCACCGCCAGCAGCGCCCGGAAAGTTTTCTGCTCGCCCCGCGGCACCGGCGGCCGGCCCCAGCCCCGCCGCCCCGGGCGCGGCTCCGCCGCCGGCTCCGGCTCCCGCCGCGGCAGCACCGTCCAGAGCCCCGGCAGGGCGCCCAGCAGCACCAGCCCCAGCACGGGCAGCGGCCCCGGCGCAGCCCGCCTCGCCTGCCTCATCCTCCCGCCGCTCTCACGCCGGTGCCGCGGGACGCGGCGGCGGTGCAGTCCCGCCGCTCGGCCGCTGGCGCATGGCCGCGGGCCGGGCCGGGGGAGCGGCAGCGGCCGGTGTCGGCGAGCCCCGGCGCAGCCCCCTCCGTGTGCGCCAGCCCCGCCGGCGGCCGCGGGCACCCGCACCACGTGGGGAGCCGGGGCGGCGCGCCCGGCCCGCCCCGTCCCTCGGCGCGGCCCTCCGCTTAAAGCGGCGATGCCCCGCGCGGGGAGCGGGGCCCGCAGCCGGCGGGGAGACCCGGGCGGCGTGGGAGGGGGGGCCGCGCACATCAGCCGGCACGCCTAGGGGGGGAGGGGACGAAGGGGAAGGAGAAGCCGCCCCCCCCCCACCCGAGCCGGGGCACTGGCTCCGGCGGAGCCTCCCGCCCACGGCGGCACGGCGGGGGTCGCGCCGCGGTCACCGGCAGATCCACACCCCCCCCGCTCTACCCCTCGCCGCGGGGCCGGCGGCCGGCGGGTTGCGGGCGCAGAGGGCTCGCCCGACGCCGCGCCGTGCACGTGCAGCTCGGGGCACGCGTGGGCACGCACACGAGCAACACCGCGGGGGACTGACTGTGGGCGAGGCGCGGTCGCGAGATACCCGCCCCCCCCCCCCCCCCCCCCGGAGCGTCACAGCCTCCCGCCGCCCGCGGAGGGGCCCGCCAGTGCGTGTCGCGGCGTGGCCCCGCTTCTCCCGGCATTTCACGCCCCACGAGGGGAAGTTTGAAGCCCGGCGGCGGGGCACGGTCCCGCCCCGCGGGGTTTCCAGCCCGAGGGAGCGCCGGCCAGCACACCGCACGCTCAGGCCCTCGGAGGTCTCTAGGGTGTACGCCGCAAGGTTGGAAGAGCAGCTATTTCTGCCAGTTCCCTGCCCTCCCGAGGCAAGAAAACTCAGCTCTGCTCTTCCCGTATTTTACTGGAGACCTCGCTGGGGAGGAACGTGTTTGTGAGCCGAGTTAGATTAAACACCTCTCCCTTCTTCAATCTGTGCCGTGGCTATCCTCCAAAGCAGTTACTGGCGTTGGGTCAGCGAAGCAGAACCACCGCATACGTACAGATTCTTAAACATTGCAGAAACAATAGCCCCTTTCTTGCTCACCCCCTCAGCTCTCCCTGCTCTCCCGAGATACCCCAACTACTAATTTTCCAACCACACCACAGTCTTCCAGGTTGGATGGAATGCAAGTTATTTACTACAAGAAAAGGGGAATTCTCTCTCTTTTCCGGGATTCGTTTAAAACATTCAAACTCTCCTAACCCGCTGTAACACCTTCCCGAATTCCCCTTTACGCCGGGACTCCAGGGCTCCCCTAGGACGCTGGGGCTGGAAGCTGCCGCCCCCTCCCCGCTCCCCACGCCGCTCCCGCCGCACCAGCTCCTCCCGCCGGTCACGGCGCTCCGCTGCAGCCGGCGGCACCGGCAGGACGGGGCGGGCAGCCAGGCCCCGCCGCCCCAAATCCTGCCCCCCGCCGCCCCAAATCCTGCCCCCCGCCGCCCCAAATCCTGCCCCCCGCCATCCCAAATCCTGCCCCCCGCCGCCCCAAATCCTGCCCCCCGCCGCCCCAAATCCTGCCCCCCGTCACCCCAACTCCTGCCCCCCGCCATCCCAAATCCTGCCCCCCGCCGCCCCAAATCCTGCCCCTCGCCATCCCAAATCCTGCCCCCCGCCGCCCCAAATCCTGCCCCTCGCCATCCCAAATCCTGCCCCCCGCCGCCCCAAATCCTGCCCCCCACCATCCCAAATCCTGCCCCCCGCCGCCCCAAATCCTGCCCCCCGCCATCCCAAATCCTGCCCCCCGCCATCCCAAATCCTGCCCCCCGCCGCCCCAAATCCTGCCCCCCGCCACCCCAAATACTGCCCCCCGCCGCCCCAGCGGGGCGCCCAGGCCGTGGAGATTGACTTGCGGGACGCCCGTGGGAGGTGAAGGGCTGCCTCCCTCCCGGGTGGGAGGGTCTCTCGGCGAGAAACGGCACGGAAGGGAGGCCAGGACGCGTCAAAAATCGTGGCCCATGCCTTTTCTAACAAGACGACCTCGCATCTAATTGCGACTGGTGTGACTGGGTGCGTTAGTGCTGTTGGGTCCCCTGGGCACGTAGGGGCTTGCTGAAATAAAAATGAGAAATAGTCACCATCCTGTCTTCCCTCAACACAAGCTAGAATTGTCCCTCCTGCTACCCACAAATTCAGGTCTGGTGCGACCCTGACCCCGACGCCTCGCTGCTGGGTGGCCAGGGGCTGCACCGATGGCACCAGTTGTGTGACCTGGCGCTGGGTATCTCCACCGTTCCCAGTGCCCGCTAGAACAGTACCAGTACACTGAGCCGGAGGCTTTTATCCAACAGCAGGCTGAATATTTTCACCAAAGAAATGGCACAGAATTGCCTCTGTTCTCTGCCACTTTCCGGCTCGAAATGGCTTTAAGAAAACTCCCAGTTTGTTGGAAAAGGACTGAAAGCAAAAAATGAATTTTATTCCATATATAGGTTGGATGTGTATTTTGATTTAAGTGAATTATTTATTTGCCTTTCAGGGTGAATTATGCTTACAGTGAGCATCCAACTGCCAGTACCTGCACTGGGAAGGCCCCCTGGAGAAGTACCATTGCCATGGATAAGGACACTACATTTTCTGTTATTAAGGTGAATATAAGCTCCAAGTTATGCACGACATTCATTTCAATTACAGCTTGCCTCTTGTAAGCTAAGCAGTTAATCATCAGGCTATATTGTGACTGCACCCTTAAATCAAAATAGGGAAAACAGCATCTCCCCCCAAACACCCAGCCTCCTCACTGCACCATTTGGAAGCCGAACAAGCCAGAGTTTTGCTGAGCCATCCCGCTGGCTAATAGTCCTGCTTATAGGTTGGAATATTTTAAAAACCAGACTGGTAGAGGGTTAAGCATCAGCCAAGCTGACATGCTGTTCAATTTACAGCATGTTAAGCATTCTTGAAACTGTGATCACTGATATATTTGGGTCAATCAGATGTCTTGTTACTGCTTTGCAGACATTGCAATGAGCAGCTTGGAGATAAAGGAGAACAGTCTCCAGGCTTCTCAGCCCTATACTGGGGAAGGGAGAGCTGGCCACCCTCCAGACCCAGGATCATAGCAAGCAAAAAGATAACAAAATAATTTCTGGCTTCCCTATGTTGTTTCTTACATTAACTTGATTTTAGTTGCCTGACAAAGCCAGGCTTATAGAATACCTAGCTGCTAGTGTTTTGCACTGATTTTAGCCTAGTGAAGGTTTTGTTCTCCCCATTCCCCTCTTGCCTCCCAGTACCCAGCTTCCTGGTGACATGGGGTAGCTGTCACGGCAGGCAGCGGCGATTCCTCCCATCAAAGGCAGAAGAAATGGGGACCGAACAGAGACTTCAGGATTTCTCCTCTGCATTGAAAGCTATTTCGTACTCAAGCCAAACTCTAATGGGTTTTGGTAGGATTAGGATTGTGGGGCTTTACTTTTCTGGCCACAGCTTGTCTGTGCTGGACTTGAGGAGCCCTGCTGGCCAGGCTCACAATCTCTGCTGGGCACAGAAGGCTGGTGAAGCAGGCGCAGGGTGAGTCTCCGTTGCACCAGAGCCCAAAACTATCAACAGCTCCAAAGCACCCAGGGACCCACTGGTGCTCTGCAGGGCAGGAGGGAGCCTCCTCCTGCGGCTGGAGCTGCAGCTGGAAGTGGGGTGCCCGCAGCAGGGAGGACAGCTTGGGAGGGCTGCCCCAGCCATGCGTAGGCACCCTCTGGCTCAGGCAAGTTCTGGCCTGTGGTAGCATTGCATACCTTCCTCTGACGCTCTCCCACAGCCCAATCCATCCCCACCTTTCAGAGGCATTGCCGTGGAAGGTATTCCCCAGCACAGACCTTTCTGGACTACCAAGATTAGCGTGGGCACACACACCCACCCACCCACCCACACACACACACCCCCACACCCCCACCCCCTTTCCAGGCTCATGGTCATTTCTCTCTCTTCACTAAGCACCGACAGACACTTTCTGTTCATCACTGCGTTGCCAGATCTACCTGGCCTCAACACCAGGTTACTGAGTCTGGTGGCTGCCCCATGAACCCCCACACTGCTGGGGAGGCTGCAGCGGGTGAGCCTGAGCTACTGCTTCGTGGTGACTCTCAGTAGCACAACACGTGGAAGTCCTTCATTTACTCTGACCTGTGGTTTAGGATCCTGGGTGGGGTGGGAATAGGGGCTTTTTACCCCAGTCCAGCATATTTTCTCTAGATTTCACCCTCCTAAGACTTTTTATACAGCTTGTTCTATTTCTATCCAGCATTTCCTCAGCTGTCCCTAAGCAGCTTGTTCCCACCCCTGTTCAGCAGCTTTGGTTCCTGGCAGCGAGCCAGTGCCAGTGAGCTCCCAAACCCCCGACAGCCAATTTTGAAGGGATCCCCGTGATTGCTGTGAGGAGAGGAGCACTGAGCACGTGGTGCAGTGCGTGGGCACGTGTGGAACTGGCGGCTGCCCTGGGGATGTGAAAGCTGCTGCAGACAGGCTGTAGCGGAGTGATGCCCCTGCTTCCTCAGTGCTGCATGTTCCCATCCCTCCACACTTCCCCGCTTTGTGTTTCGAGCCACTGGATCAATGAAAATGTGGCTCTTGGGAGCCTTCCATCAGGGCAGTATCAGCTCTCCACCTCCCAGAAACCGATACCGGTTGATTTACAGCGCTCCTGCTGATGACAGACTCCTCCTGACACAGCCCCCGCGGTGCCAGCTTTCCTGGCAGCGAGAGCACCTCTCGCTGCCCGTCTGGGATGCCTGAACCTGCAGCCTCCCGCCCAGAGCCCCTCGTCCCTGTGGCCTGTGTGTTTTGATTCTTTCCTTTGCAAGGAAGTTACTTAGACTATCCGGCTAGGGGAGAAGAGTTATGCCTGCAGAACCGTCTAGTACAGATCCAGGGTTGCCATCAAAACAACGCTAATGCCAGTACAGCTTGTTTCTCCTGGGGAAGGGCGGGAATTTTGGAGTAAACTACATTGGCAAAAAGTTAGTGTGCCAAAACTTTATGTGCTTAGTGTCACTATAAGTTGTTTCCACACTAGGAGTGCTTTGTACAAAT